AACTAAAAGTAATTATGCTGGGCAAAAGCGAGACAAAAAAGAGTACATACTGTGTAATTCCATGTATATAAAACTCTAGAGAATGTAAGCTAATCTGTCACGACAGAAAGCAGAGCAGTAGTTGCTTAGGGATTGAAGTGGGTATGCAGAGGAACAGAGGGCTAGTTACAAAGGCTAAGAGGAAGTTTTGAGGATGAGAGCTAAATTTAGTATCTTGGTTATAGTGAGGACTTCAATGATTGTGTATTTATGTCAAAGTCTGCCAACCTGTACACTTAAATACGTGCAGTTTATTGTCAATTATCCCAATAAACCTATTTAATGTGCATGTGTGATATAAAATCATCTATTATTCACCAGGCATGCTCCAGGCCTAGAAGTAAAGCACTGAAAGATGGACATTGGAACCGTCCACAACAAAACCAACAGTCGTAAAAGAGAAAACAGAAACCAAATGCTACAAAGTATGATAAAGTTTATGACCAGGTACATTAGGAAAGCAGACTACAGATTCTAATTCGTACAGATTCTGTAGTATAGATTCTAACTAGGTAGTCAAGAAAGGAATCTATGAGTAAGTAACATGTAAACCAAGATGAACAAATGGAGTATGAGTTAGCTAGGTAAAATACAGGGGGAAAACATATACAAAGACATTTACATAGTGAAGAGTATAGGGGAAAAAATATGTTGACAATCCCCAACTTAAATTGGTATAACTTGGGATTTTTTTGACTTTGCAATGATGCAAAAGCAATACATACTCAGCAGAAACTGCACTTTTGAATTTTGATTTTTTCCCAGGCTAATGATCATGCAGTAGGATATTACTGGTGATGCTGGGCCATGGCAGCAAGGTACAGCTCCCAGTCAGGCACATGACTGGTCATGAAGGTAAACAAACCATTCACTTAAAACCATTCTGTACCCATACAACAATTCTGTTTTTTACTTTGTATTCAATAAATTCCATGAGATTCAACACTGTATTATAAGCTAGACTTCGTGTTAGATGATTTTGCAAGTGTTCTGAGCACACTTAAGTAGGCTAGGCTAAGCTATGATGTTAGGTAGATTAGATGTATTAAATGCATTTTTCAATTTAAGAGAGGTTTGTCTGGACATAACCCCATTGTAAGTGAAGGAAGACCTGTATAAGTTAAATGCCCAGAATTGGAATTGCTGGTTCAAAGGGCAATCACAGTTTTATGAAAAAGGGATTTTTGCTTAATTCTTTGGAATACACAAATTGACAGTTATTGTTTATGTAGCAAAGGGAACTTCAGAACAATTTACTAACATTATTTAAAACAAGAGGATAAAAATAGACTAGTATTTTGATCTCTTTGAAACTAGAGCACATCTTCATCCTCACATCCTAAATGCACTACTTCACACACCATCCACTAACATTTTGCTGAATTAATGCATAAAAGAAATCAAATTGCTAAGAGGAACTCCTCAGTCATACCTCACTGTCTTTAGAAATGACAGTTTTTAAAAGAATTAAATCTCCATCATCCTCCTCAGGTAACAATTCTTAATGCAAGCCCCTCAACATGAACTATTGCAAAAACCTCTGAACTGGTCTCCCCGTCTCTATTCCTCCAATCTTCCAAATTCAACCTCCACAAAACGTTAGATTAAACCATTCAATCTCTCAACTTCTTCTCTGCACCTAAAATCCTAAATGGCACCTCATCACCTCCAACTGTGCATCCCAAACACAGACTCCAAAACCAACAATGGTGAAAAGAGGAGAGAATAAGACAACTTAGTGAGTTGTTAATAAAGTTAATGTATTCAATTTAGAGGTATTGGGAGAGTTTGCTTCCTGCTTTTTTGATGTTAAAATATCCTTTTGCTTATGAAAGAATGGGTGAGGACATCGGTTTTTAAGAAACATCTCCACTTAGGAGCTGGTTTATCAAGCCAAGCGAAACAAGTCAGTCATAGCAAAACAAATACCATACGATTTCACTCAAATGTGGAATTTAGAAAACAAAACAAGAACAAAGGAGAAGGGAGGGAAAAAAAGAGGGAGGCAAACCATAAGAGACTCCTAACTATAAAGAACAAACTGAGGGTTGCTGGAGGGGTGGTGGGTGGGGCATGGGTGATGGACATTAAGGAGGGAGGACACTTGTGATGAGCACTGGGTGTTATATGTAACTGAAGAATCACTGAATTCTACTCCTGAAACCAGTATTACACTATATGTTAGCTAACTAGAATTTAAATATAAAATTGAAACAAACAAACAAACAAACATCTCCACTTAGCAAATAAAAAAGTTGGCAAATCTTTGACAGCTGAGCTTTATTTTTCATTTTAAGGGCCCAAGAAAACGTCTGGGAAACACTGACTTATCCACACCAGAGGGTTAGGTGTGGATAAAGTCCACAAGGCAAACAGTGCCCTCATCTATTTTTCTAAGTGGTCTCTACCTCCCCAGGAGATTTCTGGCTGCAGCTATACAGGATTGCAGCAGGTCCTGCACCAACACCTACTTACTCTCTCCCATTGCTCGCGCTTTCTCAGGAATGGAATGGCCTCAATAACAACTCCTTTTCTTCACTCACTCGATTTATTGAGCACCTACAATGCTAAGCACTAGGGACAGAGCAGTGAACAAAAGAAAACATTACTGTCTTCATGGAGCTCACAGTCTAGTGGAGGGAAGACGATATCAAATATAAAATTAAAAATTATGATTATACTACTTTACAGGGAATGGAAGGAAGGAAAATGGAATGGCGGGAAAGCTGGTCAATGAACTACTATAGTTTAGGTAAGAGATAGCTGTGATTCGGGGAACGGTAGAGCCAAGGAGAAGTCAAATCTTGAGCTGACTATATTGCTGACAGACTGAAGAGAGAGACTAAAAGAAGAAATACTCCACGATTCCAACATAAGCAACTACATATAGACTAGAACAATAGGCCCAATTTTTTATGCCTCCCTGGATCTATGCCCTTTCCTATGAGCTTGCTACACTGACCTGAAGCCTTGTTTATATGGCTTGTTTGGACCAATGGGACAACAGCAAACTTATTCCACGCCAGTATCTTGAAAAAGTTCCTGTGCACTGTTACTTTTCTCTTGGAGTAAGCCTGGGCTAAACTGCTAAAAATGAGAGACCACACAGAGAAGAGTTAAGCAAAGACCATCTGAAATAATCTTAGAGCAGTCTATAGCCAGAGAACCCCCCAAATATGAAGAAGTCCAGCCAAGATGAGCAGAGCCACCAAGCAGATCGATAAGTGAACAAAGCAGATCGATAATCCAGCCGGAATGAGTCCAAGCCACTACTAGAAGAAACACCTACCTGACTTGTAGACTTGTGAGCAACAGTAACTGCTTACTCTTTTGAGCCACTGAGTTTGGGTGGCTTTTTAATGCACAAACTGAACATAGTCGTATCAATTACTGACACGGGGTGGAAGAAGGAAAAGAAGGGAATGAAAGAAAATCTAAGCTCATTTTATCTTAACCCAGTAAACTCTTACTTCTCCTTCAAAACTCAACTTAGATATCAACTCCTCCAGGAAGCCTTCCCAGATCCCCGTGCTGGTTTGGAAAGATGCTTAAGCACTACCATCATGTTCCGTACATAACCCAATCACTGCCTTATCGCACTGATTTGTAATTATGTTTATATTTTTCTTCCAAAGTAGCCAAATGCACTCTTATCTTACAGACTGTATCATATTCATCTTGATAATATCACCCTGTAACATAAAAAGCATCTCTCAATAGATGTTTCCTAAAACAGGCTCTCTATTGATGTATCAATTAATAAACACTTATTCGATAAAATTCCTTAATTCTAGATCAGTATTTCTCAATGAGTGATCCACTCGCAACATACACTGAACCAGTAGAAAGTTATATTAAAAATGCAGATCTCTGGGCTTTTTAACGAAAATGCCATTCGTTACCTCTTAAGAACAAGGATGAATTTTTTTGGCCAGCCTCAGATACACAAAAGAAACAGCAGAAGCATAAGCATGAAATCGACTTTCCCTCAAAATTTTCTAGATACGTTCTCTACGATTATGTCCTTAGTGTGACAGCACCTATGCAACTAAAAATGCTCTGAACTGCAATGGAGTTTCTCTTCTACGAAACGGGTCTCCGCCAGAGGAAACAGGAGCTGGGGGTCCTCGCAGGAGGTGTGGCTTCTCAGCGCACACGGTTACCGAGGATGCTCGAAAGGGAAACAAGTCCTGAGTTTTCTCCGCAGCAGGGCCAGGCCAGGACGGACAGGCGACGGAGCCCAGGCAGCAGCCGCGTGCCCCCTGACGAGCCGTGGAGCCTGGGAGCCCGAACCAGCGCCGGCCCAGGGTCTCGCTACCTAACAGCCACGAGAAAGAGACTCTCACTGGATTCCGAGATGGGCGTCCGTCTCCAGGGCGGCCACCCTCGGTCTACCCCAGCCCGAGCCGCAGTGCGGAAGGCCCCGGTCGCCGGGCCTGCCCAAGTCAGAAAGGAAGAAAATGAGGGAAGAGTCCGGCCGCTGGCAGCCTACAGAGGGAAGGACTAGGATGCCCGGGGGGCGCCGCCGCTTCCCACCTGCGTCAAGCTCCAGCTGGTAACAGGGCAGCGGCTCGAGGGAGAGCTTGTAACCCTCAAAACGCGGATCCAACAGAGGTCTCTTCACGCGTAGAGAGCAATTAGCAGCCACCTCCATAGCCTTCCTGGGTCGTAGCGTGAGAACTAATAAAGCTCTTGTTGAAAGGTCCGCGCTTCGCTCTTAGTACCGAGGCTCTCGGGCGGCGTGGTTCCCATCCCAGAAAACACCGCGGGGCGGGATGCCTTCTGGGAAATGTAGTGTCCATGAGAAAGTTGACTCCGTTGCATGTCGGGCTAGGTAGTTTTTCGGAGACGCAGTACCAGCGAGAGAGAGCATGGTCTGGACTCTCTTACCCAGAAGGCTGAGCTACCAGGAGGCGGCCCGCGCTGGTTAAATTCTCACAGTTATAGGCAGGGTGGCGAGACCCCGCCCCGGAAATGCGTGTTTTAGCTTTCTGTGTGCTTAGGTGCCCGAGCTACCGAGGGTCTAGGTCCGGGCAGCCGAAGAGTGTGGTAGGTAACGGTCGTCAGCGCAAGGGTCATTTCGTCGCTGGGAAGGGACGGCCCTCGCCCGCGGTGATGGTGGTGAGCTATGCCCGTGGTCCTCAGGGCCGGGACCCGGGCCCAGCCCAGGCTCCTTTCGATGTGCTGTCTTTCGTTAGCTTCCCCGACCCGCGCTCGCGGGCCTGTAGGGCTCTCCGACAGGGCGTGCAACCGGAGTTGGCCTGAAGCCAGTCCACGCTTTGTTTTCTGGCTCCTCCCCTCCCGCCTCTCCCGCTGTCTCCGCCCTATTCTCTTTTCCCAAAGAATGTCTGAACTGGGAGGGATCCCCTAGCGCCCTCGTTTTACCAGTGAGAAAACTGAGGCCTTTAAGAATTGACTTGTCCAAGGTCACTATCCGTATTTTAGGGGCCAAGACGAGATCAAGTTCAATATTCTAGGAATGGTACTGACTAGGCCTTAGAATTATTTTGAAAATGTTAGCCTCCAACTACACAAGCAAACATTTCTCAGTCCTTTCTCACCCCTTCCTTTTTCCCGTTCCAGTCAAGAAAAAAAATTTTTTTTCCCAACTCAAAACTCAGTTGCCGGCTTAAGTTTTCATGTAGACGAGGTGGGACACAGCGAAAGTGGTCCCAAGTTAGTGACAGATTATGTACAGTAATGTTAGTTTTTTTTTTTTTCAACTGTTACAGTCTAACCTTCTTCTCCTTTCTACATCACTTTGGTTTCGGTTGTCTTTTTCTTCCACGGAAAATTGAGAATTTTCTAAGTTAGGAATTAGTTTGAGATTTGTTTTTCTTTTATCCTACCAGCAAGCTTTGGTGAAGATACACACACACATACTTGGAGCTAGTTTGGCAGTTGTAATTCTGGGTACATCCTACTCAAATGTAGAGCACTTAGAGCCTAATCTGGAACTTTGGTTTTTCACCAGCAGTGCTTAATCTTTTATTAGTGTTTAGGTTATATGACTTCCCGAAATTTTGAATGCAGTTAAGGTGCAGAAATGATTAGCAGTCAGTTATGATGTGATGTTACAGTGTTTTGGGGGCTGCTGGGCTCAAAGTACGTGAGTTCAAATACTGCCTTCACCACTTTCTGTCTTGGTGCCTCAGTTTTCTCAATTGTAAAATACAAATAGCTAATAATTCTTATGTAAAAGAATCAGTTTTGGGAACTAAATGAGATAAAAAAAAAAAAAAAAACCAATGTGTTAACCCAGTACTTGGCACGTAAGTGTTAAATAAAAGTTAACAATAATTATTATTATCCAAAAACTCATTAATAAAAAGCATATGGGGGAAGAAAAATTGTAACGTGAGTTAATCATATGACTTCTTGGGATGCAGTGACTAATATTAAGAGTGATGACATTGTTAACACATTGTTGAAATTTATCACCCCTTCAGTTGATAGAATGTTAAATGTGTTGGGATGCTTACCTGGAAGATTAGAAGAAAATGCTTTGTATGTGTTCTGTATCTGAAAATACATGTTGATGTTTAGGTTAGCAAGATGAACAAAGATGCGCAGATGAGAGCAGCGATTAACCAAAAGTTGATAGAAACCGGAGAAAGAGAACGGTAAGCAGTATATTGTGTTAGTAAACTACATTTAACGCCTTTAAGTTATAGTTACGTTACACGTGAGCATTTAAATATCAAGGAACAAAACTGATGTCAAAGGAAGGAATTACAGAAAATTGAGATTATCAAGTTTCAGTTACTAACATCTGTAAAAAATAGGTGTGTTCCGTATTGCATTCTTAAAGAAGAGTGTGTCATCTAGAAAGATGACCAAGAAATGACTCTCTTAAAGAATGTATAATCTAATGGAAAAGAAAAAACTGCTCAAATGACTACAATTAAAAACATAATGTTACGCAATTTTTAACAGGGAGATAATGTGATAGAACCAGTTTCATTTACTGCATTCTCAACTTCAGAGCAGAATGTGCTGTTCCTAGTCTTCTGAAACATTCTTCCCCTGATCTTTTACTTATTCTAGCTCATCTTTCAGGTTTAATTTTTTTTTTTTTAAGATTTTATTTATTTATTTGACAGAGATCTACAAGTAGGCAGAGAGGCAGGGAGAGAGAGAGAGAGGAAGGGAAGCAGGCTCCCTGCTGAGCAGAGAGCCCGATGCGGGACTTGAACCTAGGACCCTGAGATCATGACCTGAGCTGAAGGCAGAGGCTTAAGCCACTGAGCCACCCAGGCGCCCCTTTCAGGTTTAATTTAATTAACATCATCTTGTGTAGGAATTTGTTAAGTCCCAGATACCCTGTTCTAGCCTAGCATTTATTTACATTGTATTATAACCACCTGCTTTGCTTGTTTGTGTTCTCCAAATCTAAGTTCCTTGACAGTAGAAATACTATTGTATCCCCAACATCATCCCTAGCACAAAATTGGCCAAGGTAATTATTTGAAGAAAGAACAGGTTTGGAAGTACTAAACAGAAACTCAGGAACCAAGAAAGGATTCCAGAACAGTGAAAAATTGCCTAAGAGAAATATATAAGGAACAAGAGGGATCTTTCAACTCTACCTGGCGGTTAGGGTAATCAGTTACAAAATAGTAAAAGAAGTACTTCAATTCGGGGTGGGGGGCGAGGGAAGATTAGCCATTCTTCCAGCCAATAAAGGACAGACTTGTTACAACATGATAATGTTCTGAGGAATACAAAAATTAAAGCTAGCAGGTAAAGTGTGGAAGTGATATTGCTGTGACAGTAGACAAAAGGAGTGGATTTTTGTGTAAGTCAGAATTCTTTGATTTGCAAATGATAGAACTCAGAAACTGCCTTAACCAGTGAAATACATAAGCTTAGCTTGAAGTTGCTTCAGTCTCCACTGTGTCCAAGCACTCAAAAATTGTTACCAAGATTATGTCTTTCTTTTTCTTTCTCAGCTCTGTTTTCCTCTATGTTGGCTTTAATCTCAAGCAGACTCTACCCACAAGGTGGCAGAGATTAGCAGTTCAGAATTCATATCCCTGTGGCTCAGACTACATGTCTCCTAGTAGTTCCAGCAAAGTACCTGGCGCGATTACCATCTTACTTAGGTACATAGGCCAGTTATGGTCAACCTTGCCTAGGTCTCATTTCCATTGTTGGAACCCTATGCAGATTTCTTATGCTAGGAGTGGTGTCAAAGAAAGGTCAGGAAAATGGATGGATTTGAAGAAACAGCTGTTGTTGACTTTATCCTTAGGTGGTGGGAATCATTAAAAGATTCTAAGAAGGGGGATGACTACATCATATTTGCTCTTTAGGAATATTAGCCTGGCAATGTGGACGATAGACTTGAAGGGCTAGAGATACGGAGCTACAGAAGAACGTGTTAGCAGATTATATCAGTTTAAAAATGAGAAACAGCAAAAATGGAAAGGAGAACTTAAAATTTCTTTTAAAGCAAAAGCAGCCCTCAATATGAGAAATGAAGAAGAAGACATTGAGAACAATGCCTTGGGGGAACTGAGAGGATAGTGTTGGCAGTAATGAGGAAAGGGGGTTATTTATTATTGTTTATTTGTTTTTTCACTTACGCAGTTTAAAATTACTGAGTTTCTACCACATGCTATGTCCTGTTAAGGTGCTGGAGATAAAGTAGCGAACAAAATAAAGTCTCTTCTTTCGTGGAGCTTACATGGGAGAAGACAGACAGTAAGTCTGTATTATGTAGATTGATAAGTTCTAGAGGAAAAATAAAACTGAGAATAATGAGGTGTGTGTTTGAGACAAATAAAAATAAAGAAGACTTCACTGGTAAGAGGTCAGAAGGATATGAAGGAATGAGGGGACTCCCAAGAGCCAAGAACCCCAGATGAGTTTACCTAGATTTTGATGACCACATGGAAGCTCATGAGCCTGAATAAATGGGTGAGGGGAAGAAGAAACAAAGTCAGAGGCATAACTGGGGAGGGGGAAGATCATGGAGGGTTATTTAGGCTATAGCATAGATTTGGAATTTTAAGTAAATTGGGAAGCCACCGACTGTTTTGAGCACAGGAAGGAGAGCAAGGATATAAGGGAGGAAACAAGGGGACACGTTAGGGACTTTGGTAATAGTCCAGTCAAGAGAAGAAGATGGTTTGGACTAGGGAAATAATTGCAAAGATGGTGAAAAACATTTGAATTATAGTATATACTTAAAACTGGAACCAATAGGAATTGCTTCTATGGCTTGTACGTGTAGTGTTAGCAGAGTTGCTGAGTGAAGGATGCCAAATTTTCTAGCCTGAGGAACAAGGATGAACAATGGCATTCTGACAGGGAGAATAGTTTGAAATGGGAGAGGAGCAGAACTTGGTTTTTGGCCCTATTAAGATGGAAAGACCTAAATAAATACCAAGATGGAAATGTCACATAGTGAATGTTTAGAAATATTGACAGAGAAGTGGTTTGGTTTGGGACATGACATGTTCAAGCTCTTGAGAAATGATTTAGGTTGAAGATTGTGGATTTGTAAGAGTGGGTATGGCGAAAGGATAAGAAAATATTGTTAAGAAAATATTTTATTACATCCATGATGCAATTAGTTACAATACACACCATATTTTTTTTTTTTAAAGATTTTATTTATTGAGACGGAGAAAAAGAGAGAGAGCACAAACAGGAGGGAAAGGGCAGAAGGAGAAGGAGAAACATTCCCTCACTGAGCAGAGACCAGTGCAGGACTCGAATCCAGAATCCTGAGATCATGACCTGAGCTGAAGACAGACACTTAACTGACAGAGCCACCCAGGAGCCCCACACCATTATTTTTGTTTACTAGGGAAAAAGAAGATACTGCCAGTTAAGTTATGATAGGCATACCGATTGCTAAATTGTTGAAATGTGGGGGAAAAACAACAGTCTTAGAATCAATGAAATACCATCTTTAGTATGTAATTTAGAGGGTTATTGGAAAAAATTGAGGGGAAAGTTTTTTTTGTTTGTTTTTTGTTTTTTGAGGGGAAAGTTTTTAAGGTTTAGAGAGGGATATCATGGGGAAGTAGAGAGCTAAAGGATAATGAGTCTGTAGTTGAAGAATAGATTTTGGAGTTTGAAGATTTTAAGGTGTAGGGGCTTCTAATACATTTAGAAGTTGTACAAGACTCACAATATTCCTGTTGGAGGTAAGTAAAAGTGTCTGAGAAGGCCAGAGAGTAGAGTTTCTTGAGAATTATGGTACCCTATCCACTTCCTTTACCGATGATGAAAATGAAGTCCAGAGTTCAAATGACTTCCGTAAGATCAAAGAATTATTTAATAACAGAATCAAAATTAGGTGACAGTTAAAGTTTTGGAGATTAGAAGGCAGGGAATTTTTAACTGAACATTTGAACTTCTGCTTCAAACATTCCTATCTAAAATATTTTACCTTGTTGTAGTGTAATATGAAAACATTTTCTGTTTCAACAGCCTCAAAGAGTTGCTGAGAGCTAAATTAATTGAATGTGGCTGGAAGGACCAGTTGAAGGCACACTGTAAAGGTAATCAGTTTCATTTACAAGATAAGCTGATTTCATTGTTCTTGTTGGCTTGGGGTTCACTAGGAAATAATAGGCAGTATTTTAAGATCTATTGAGTGCCAAACAAATAGAAATTAAACAAATAGAAAATTCAGTCTTCTAGCAGTGATTTCCCCATCCCCTTTTGGTAGACATAATTCCTGAATCTTTAGAAATTTTCTTTGTATTTTTCTTAAAACAAATGAGGCAAGATTTTTTCTGAATCCAAGTATTCATTCCAACCTTTTTGAGTGTGCCTACTCAAAGTGAAAATTAGTTATTCCTATGTTTTAACTTTATAAGTTGAATACTTTATGATTGGAAGACTCCATAGGAATTATATCTCCTGGCTTTAACAGTGTTATTTTTGAAAAATTTTACTTATAAAAGCTCTTAGGTAATTACACTTTTTTTTAAAATGTAGAATGGAAGCTTGTAAAATTGCTAGGTATTGATGATGATGCCGCTAGGTAGATTATACATGTCATGAAGATGAGCCTCTTCTGGCTTGACTTTGGTGTACTGGAACTCTGGATATTTTCAGTGAACTCCCATTATATCGTAGTGGTTTCTACAATTAATATCACGAATCCTAAGAAGGCAGTGTAGCACATTAGAAAAAGCATAGTTTTGGGGGTCATACAGACCTTCACTGGGAGAGACTAGAGCTGGATTTCAGCTCATGTTTGGATGAGTTATTTATTTATTTATTTATTTTTAAGATTTGTTTATTTGACAGACTGAGATCACAAGTAGGCAGAGAGGCAGGCAGAGAGAGAGGGGGAAGCAGGCTCCCCGCTGAGCAGAGAACCTGATGTGGGGCTTGATCCCAGGACCCTGGGATCATGACCCGAGCTGAAGGCAGAGGCTTTAACCCACTGAGCCACCCAGGTGCCCCTGGATGAGTTATTTAATCTTTAAGCCTCAGTTGGGTCACTTGGTAAGTGGAAAAATGCCCAGCCCATTAGCTTGTTATGAGTATCAAATGCTGTAAATCACCTAACACCTCATAGTGTTTCAGTAAATTTTAACTCCTTGCCCCCCTCTTCTCTTTCCTTTGGCCCAGCCTAGAGAAGAGAAAGGAACAAAGGAGTTGTTCTGTTCTTCAATTTTGGGCTATGAAATTACAAGTTAGATTCAAATAATAGCTTTTTATCCCTTCCATACATTCAGGAGCTGGTATGATTATGGTGAAATAAGATCTGTTATAAATTTCCAGCTTTTTGCACATAATTAGATTTGACCTTACAGTTCAGATCCATTCTCAGTGTTAAAATAATTGTTAATGTACAGGTTATTTAGCTGAGAGATAAACAGGCTTTTAAGATTTTGATCTGGTGAATACTTAATGTGTTTAAGGTTGAGCTAAACCTTCATTAGAAAAGAGAAAAAGAAGTGTCCTCTTTTTTTTTTAAGACCAATCTGCACTCTAAAAACATGATCTTAACCCTTCCTCTATGAAAATCTTTCTTACAGATAATGATTTTAAATGATATGATTTGTTTTTTGCTTTTGCATAAGAGGTAATTAAAGAAAAAGGACTAGAACACGTTACTGTTGATGACTTGGTGGCTGAAATCACACCAAAAGGCAGAGGTAAGGAATACAAATTATGTGAAAGGAAAGGTGTGCTGAAGACATGATTTTTTTCTCTCTCTCCTGCTGGTTCAGCTTTTCTTTCTTTTTAAAGGGAAAAACAGCCTTTCCAAAATTACTTGGGTACTTATATTTCCTCATTGGGAAAGATTATTGCCTATTTTCCTCTCTGGCATAGTCTTGAGTAATAGATGAGAGGTATAAAATGTTTTTGCACTCTAAAACAGCATACAGATGTAAGTTGATAACGGTTGTTAAGACAGATAATTTTTAAAATTGGGGATTTTGTAGAGGCAAGTTATCACCTGAAGATAGGATTTATAAATTTTGTTAGATATGGCCCAATTTCACTTACATATTTAATAATTCAAACTTTTACTTCAGCCCGTCAATGTTTTTTTTTTAAAAATAAGTAAAGCTCTGTCTTCTTAAGTGTCCAAGTTAAGAATTTGGTAGCTCTAAAACTTCATGTTCTGGGTAATCTGTATTTAAAATTCACACTACCATCATCTTCATTTTCTTACAGAAGACAAAGGAAAGAGAAGAAATATTATATTAACATTGATAATATGTAGTATGTATTAAGAACTACATTACATTGTTAGCTCAGATGTGGCTACATATTTTCATTTATTTTGTGAAAGGGTCTTTTTTGGTAATTTTTTTTCTTAAAGATTTTATTTATTTATTTGACAGAGAGATCACAAGTAGGCAGAGAAGCAGGCAGAGAGAGAGGAGGAAGCAGGCTCCCTGCTGAGCAGAGAGCCCGATGCGGGCCTCAATCCCAGGACCCTGGGACTATGACCTAAGCCGAAGGCAGAGGCTTTAACCCACTGAGCCATCCAGGCGCCCCTCTTTTGGTAATTTTAAGTGGAAGCACATAAATTAGATGATCCATTATCTATTTTCCCACACGGAAGTAGTAAAAAGAATTTAAGTGTAAAAAGTAAAAAAAAAAAAATTTTGAAAGTTGTTACTAGAGAATACTAATTCTCTGAATACCTGCTGGGAAAGAGCTACAGAATCCCGTCTACAGCTTTTTTTTTTTTTTTTTTTTTTTTTTTAAAAAAAGACTTTTTCATCAAGTATGTCTGAAGGAAAGAAAAACAAAACATTATTTATTGCTCCCCACATGAATTTACATTTTAAAATAATTTTCTCCAATTTCTTTTTCTGTTTTCCTTCTGTAATTTATGTAACATTTTGGAGCTGGTTATACAGGGTAGAAATTTCCTTTGCTTCTCCTTCAACACTTCTGTCTTAGACATTTCAATCCCTTATAGCTCTATTGCTAGAAAATGAGCAAATCCAGAACAGAGAAATAAAAATAAATCTTTTCTTTTATGTTCGTAGTCTTTTATAGCCAATATAAGTATTTATTTTCTTTTTTTAACGAAAATACAGTAGAATTGACCATTTTTTAGTTTGCAGTTCTGTGAATTTTATATGCATGTACAGATTCATGTAACTCCCCTCCTGCCTGTAAAAAACTCTCAAGCTGTCCTTTCATAGTCATACCTTATCCCTAACTCCAAGGCAACTGATCTATATTCCATCACCATAATTTTTATTAAAAGTGTGTTTAATATATATAGTGATCACATTTCCAGTGGTCTTGAATTAAACATGTAGCGTTTATTTCTAGCAGGCTTAAACTAATCTGTAAAAAGGAGTATGTGTCCTACTTAATTTATATACTTACTTGTGGAATTCACTATACAAATACTGAACTGTATCTGAAATATTTCATTTCCTTTTGATATAGGCAAGTAGCATTAGAAGTTTCAGTTAGTTCCCTATTGTCCTTATTTATTAGTAGCCAAGAAAGGAAAAAAAAAAAACAGTGTACATTGATTTATTGACATTTAATAGTAATTTAAAATTACTAAAAATTCCTAGGAGCAGGGCTTTTTTTTTTTTCCTTTTTTTTTTTTTTAAGTGTTATACTCTGAATAGATAATAGTCACATAGTTCTAAATTGAAGAAGTAAAAATACCACAAATGTAACTCCTGTTGCAATTTTTGCATCTTTGCTGAGTCAGAGAGTATGTGCACTTACTTCAATACAGTATTGCCAAACTAGCTTCCCAAAAGTGTGGTACCAATTTGTATCCTCTACCAGCTCATACAATAGAGCCAATTTCCCCTCAGTCTTACCAACACATGATATTACTGACCTTACATGCCAAAACATGCTGTTTGAATGTGGTTTTGGTTTACATTTCAATTATGAAGTTATACCCCTGTTATGTTTAAGAACAGTTGTTTTGCCTTTTCTTCACCTCCTTTGCTCATTTTTCTGTCAGTCTGATCTTTCGCTTATCAATTTGGAGAAATGTAGTGAGTGATCAGCCTTTTCTATAAGTGTTTTCCCACTTTTTGTCTTTTCCCTTTGTTTATGGTGATTTTGACCAACTTATTAAATTGTCATTGTTGCATTTATATCAAATTTATCAATTTATAATCCTCTGTGATTCAAAAAGGTTTTTTCCACTTCTAGTTTAAAGAGTTTTCCCATGTTTTATTCTCCTCATTGTGCAATGTATTTAGGTATTGAATAGGTCACTCAAATAATAAATTGCAAATATACTTTATCTTTTCAGATATCTTTACCTCTTTCATTTTTAAGGCATATGGGTTATTCATGAAATTATTTTATTGTTAATTCTGAATAAATTATCAAATACCAAATTGACATATTAATTGGAATCTTCTTACTCTTGTATTTTTATTTTTTGTATTTCAGCCCTGGTACCTGACAGTGTAAAGAAGGAGCTCCTACAAAGAATAAGAACATTCCTTGCTCAGCATGCCAGCCTTTAAGATTGAATTAGATTGTGTTGTTTTGTGGTTTTATTTCTGAAAGTAAAAACTTGCCATAAATTAGGAATCGATTTCCCAAAATAAAATCCTTTTTTGTATGATGGTATACAGTTTTCAGTAATGATGTATACATTGTATTGATTTCCCCTAAATGTGTTATTTTAATAAATATCTCATGAATGAGTTTGAAGTTTCCTTGGATTTTGGAATAAAAGGGACTTTATTAATAATATACCAGATTTGTTGAGAGGAAAATTCAGCAATTAATACAGTGTAAGTGTTAAGTATGTGCATATCTCTGTGCTAACAATTAAGGAGGAGTAAGCAGGCTCTTCTTACTGTCTGGATGTGGTGTATTCCTCTTTTGAATCTCTGCTATTTTATAATACATGTCCCATCTTGTACTACAGATGTCTTATTTCTGATTTGTTATAAATGCTGAGGGTTGGGGACTGGGTCTTACTCATCTTTATGTGCCTTCCTTATTCCTCAAAGAATTTACCATCCTATTGGAAGAGAGAACATTTGCAAACTGGCTCCATACCAAGCTCCTCTCACATACTCTACTCATCTGAACTTTGAGAGCAGGAACTAAATTGCATCCCCACTTACTAAGGTCAAGAAAGAACTTAATGGGAAATAATCTCCACCTGTAGCTCTGACATCAAGATTGCCAAATCCAATGGACTCTTGTCTGTTCTCATGTGACCTCTGCTGGAATGAGAATGTTGACCATCCTGCCGCTTGGAACTTTCTTCCCACTATTCACATTGTGCATCCCTACCACTGGAAGCTCCTTCTGTGTCTTGTGGAAACCTTTTGCTGTATGGGACTTCAGATAATCGTGTTTCTTAGTGTTCCCTCCTGGGCCCTCTGCTTGACTAATGATATACTTTCCTTGGGCGAATCCCAGGAAAGTTGGGTTGGACCATGGCTTCAAATACAAACTTGTTGATAAATGGTAAATTGTTTCTCCAAACCAGACTTCAACCCAGCCTTCAGACCTGTACTCAACTGCTGTGGATCAGCTTTCTTGGATGTTCCATAAATACCTTAAACTGACCACACCTAGAATAGTGACTTCTTTTCCTCCACTAACTGCCCCCACTGTGTTACTTATCTCTGTGAGTGGTACCTCCTCCCAGACCTACAGATTACCAGAGCTTATTAAAATACTGATTCAGAAGGTAAGAGATACGGCACAACATTCTCTTTCTGACAAGCTCCCAGTCCGTGCTCGTGCAGCTAATGGAGGACCACTTTGTAACAAGGATGTCAGTTGTCTGCTTCTGCCCTCTTAACTGCCTTAGTTCAGACAAATTATGCAGCGGGATCTTGAGGTTTCCTGCTGTAGCTGCTTCATGCTTCCTCCAGTGACTTCCACACTATTACCTAAGTGACCTTAACTAAAAGCCAAGCCTTGTCATTTTATTCTACCTGAAATTTCTCGGTGGCTTAGTTTATAGTGCAAAATTCAAGCTTGACCGTAAGCAACCAGGTTTGATATTCTAGTTACTCAAAAGAGTCCTCAAAAGTATCAAGTTAAATCATCCCTAAATACAAAACTCCATCAACCCCGAAAGCCCTTTTACTTCTCACATTCCCACTTTACCTTCAAAATTCAGCTTGAGCAGTTGCAAAAACATTCTAACATTCCTTTGTCTGGTCTAGATTCCCAGCCACTTTTTTTTTTCTATAAGAAGCACCTGTGCCTAATTTCTCTTCACCACACTGGTTCTTGAACTTCGCATACATCTGGAGGAAAGGAAGAGACTTTCTGACTTTGCATGATACGTATTTGTAGATGGATGGACAAGGAAGTGAACATTATGAGAGCACAAAATAAGTAATAATACAATTGGGTATGGAGAAAAGTCTTCATGTTAATTTTTGATTTACTGTTCCCAGAGATATAATTTTATATTTCTGATGCATTTCTATTTTAAATGTAGTCTTTGAACTAACTGGACTTAGTTATGTAAAGTGAACTCTCTCTCACACACAAACACAGTCACAAAACCTACACAAGAGAGTTTTTGTTTCATCTCTTAAAAAGCAATGATCTTAAAGCAATGATAATTATATTCATTGTTCTGTTGCCCATTATCAAAAAGGAGACCACCTTAAATGGTGTGTCAGAAATGTTAAGAACAATAGTCCTTAATTTATAGTTCTGTATGTGAAAACAAACCAAAAATTGGTCATGAAGCTTAAAGAGAAAATGGAAATAAGAAAATATTTTTAAATGGAGCAAAAGAAAGTTGAATTGAAAATATAGCAACTGAAAGTACGAAAGAATATAGTTTTAAAATGACAGTGCCAAAAACTGCCCACCTCTACGTCCACTACCTCTAGGTTTTTTTGACTGCTTAGAATAGTCTTGTTTGCATCTAGAACTATTGGTATTTCTCAAATAAACCAACTTCTTGGCTCCCATCATTGATTTATGTAAACGAGGAATACATTCTTCAAAGGTCTTGCACCATCCCACGCTCAATGTCAGGAATTAAACAAAATACTGTCACACAACTGCACTGGGCAAGTAAAATACTCAGATGACTATAAGCTTCTCTTGTTTAGGATTAAAGAAGACCCACTGAATTATTTATGTAATCACTTTGCTTTGGTGTTACGAGGGTATCATTTGGTTGAACAGTGCCAAGCTAGGCCTGGGTGATGTTGGGGATTGGTAATTGGATACGGGACTTTTCATAACTTGATAAAAGACTCCATCTAACTCAAGAGAATTGTGACAGCTGCTCAGTAGCTGATGTTGGAAATGATCCAGTGCGTGTGTGTGTGTGTGTGCTTTAACCTTTGTTGTAAATGGCTATCTCATATTACTCAATGACTTCATAAAACCCTTCATATTACCATCAGAAACCACACAAAAGTCATTGGATGAATCCACCAAGAAAACTAACAGGTGCAGGCAGGCAATTAGAGTTCTTGTTTCATCTATGACACTGAATTATCAGGTAAGACCAACTCTGCTGCATAATAGGTCTGATAATTTTATATGGCAAGAATGAAAATAAGTACAAATCTTTAATACTATTAATAAGATGATCATAAAAGCAATGTGGATTAGACTTACTCCTAGGAAAAACTAGATATATGTGGTTATTTACTATTTGTTTTCTAGATTTATACAGATAGATGAATTACACCCTATGTGGAAAATAGCTGCTTTTATTTTTCAGGAATTCCTATATAATATTAATTACCATGATAATATCTACAAGAATGAAGATAACCAACATATCTTGGTTGGAATAGAATACATCTATAACAGCACTTGGCAGGGAGGGTTGAAATGATCTCTCGTCAGTTTTACCCTCATGCTTCTATGACACAGACTGTATACCATTTATCTTTCGATCCTAAGTGCCTAACAGAATAAATTCTCGATAACTTCTTTTCAAGAAATGAATAAATAAATGCAACAGAGAATGAAATTTAGCACGTGCCTGTTTATTCCAGACTTCAAATTGTATTTGGTTGTTCTGCTGGTCAGCCACCAGAGGGCACTTGAAGCCCGTATTTTGGTTCTACCTGGAGCTAACTGAAGTGTGTAATTTCAACAGGCTTAATTCCAATTCAAGCCAGATTTTTCGAGATGGAAGTGTTACTGAATTAAAATTTATATTTTTAAATTATTTTTATTAACATATAATGTATTATTTGCCCCAGGGGTACAGGTCTGTGAATCATCAGGCTTACACATTTCACAGCACTCACCATAGCACATACCCTCCCCAATGTACATCACCCAACCACCCTATGCCTATTCCCCCAACCCCCAGCAATCCTCAGTTTGTTTTGTGAGATTGAGTCTGCTATGGTTTGTCTCCCTAATGCGAGGATCTCAGAATGTGCTTCTGGTATAAATTAAGATAAAGCTACTCTGAGATGTGTTATTTTACTGGTATCATTTTCTGAAGCCAATTCAGTATTTCTGGAAGCAATTTGATTAAAATAGCATATGTCATGACTGAAATAGTTCTATTTCAGCTATTTTGTTTAAAAAAAAGAAGCATAGTAAATTTTTAATAAAAAGTGAAAGAAAATTTCCAGTGTCTTATTTCCCTGTCATCGTGTTCCCCTTTTATAGAGTTCTTTTAGAAGGAAATAATGCTCATATTTTCCTTTTCCATAGTATGTCAGTGTTTAAAAAAAGAAAGTATAAATAGAACATTATAGAGTGCCAAAACCCTGTAGACGTTCAATGAATGTTGGCTTATGTTGACAATGGTAAACAATGTCACTTAATGAAGGCAGATAGATTCTGCACTCAGAGTGCACTATTGTTCATGAAATAACTTTATGTGAAGGAACTGGTGCCAGTACTCACCACATTCATAAATGCTTTGGCTTTGTGCCTGGAATCACCAGAATTGAGTGCTAATTCATGGCTTCCAGTTACTGCATACCTCCTTAATCTAAAATTATTTGTTGAGGGCACATCTTTGAGAGTTTCTCCTTTTTAGGCAGCAACTTGTATCAAAATTGCCCTTTGACAAAACAAGAGGCGTAATGTAGAGTAACTGAAATAGAGACGTCCATTAAACCCGGCAGGTGTGCAGGCGATCTGGGTAGTGATGTACACCGGGTAATCTGAGGAGCTACTCCAGTCTGGGAGCGCGCACTCTGGTTCTCTTCTCGGAGCTATTGCTGAGGGGCTTAAGGATTTCATTAGTCACAAGTTGTAACTGACAGTCGCCTACCAACAACTCGATTCCTTTCTGCTGGGGATGCTGAGATAATGATGAAGTATGAGACTCATGAGTGCTCTTCTTAGGAGGTGTAACATAAAGTCAAAATTATGGTAAAGGACTTTACAAGTCCTTATGTATAATATATGCTGTACTTCCAGCAACAGTGCTCATGAAACAGTTTTGTATATAGTATCTCTCTCCCGCACCTTATCTCAAGGGAAACGCTGGGCTTTCAGCAGACCTGTAGAGTGAAAAAGCACAGGTGTATTCACCAATCAGCCGCCTTTCCAATGTTCCTGACCCAATTCTTTTGTGTTACAGAGACTTTGTAGAGACCTCCACTCACCTAACCACCCTTGTATCATTGCCCTCACTCTCTTCATGTTCTCTTTCCCTTCTTACCCATGTAGAGTTGAGGGTTTAATCATTCGAACTCCCTTACAATTACACTCCAATCACACACTGTCCTGCTTAAATGTAACAACCCTGAGAGCTTACTCCCTGCATCATCTGATCACCTGAACTTTGTTGAAGAAAATTACTCAAGATTTTGATAAGTCCCATTCTAAAATAACAATTACAACATTCTGAAAGACAGTTAACCTGGACTTATCAAAAATGTTAATGTCATGGGGACACCTGGGTAGCTCAGTCAGTTAAGCCTTCAGCTCAGGTCATGATCCCAGGGTCGTGGGATAGAGTCCCACACAAGGCTCCCCACTCAGCAGGGAGCCTGCTTCTTCCCCTGCCTACCACTCTCCCTCTTTGAGCTCTCTCTCTCTGACAAATAAATATATAAAGTCTTTTAAAAAATGTTAATATCATGAAAGAATAAAAGACTAAAAAAATTAACAAGGGAAAAGAGGAAAGAAATGAAGTTCAAGAACTGTTTTATGTTAAAAAGAGAACAAAGAGATATTTGTCTTTTTTTTAAGATTTTATTTATTTGACAGACAGAGATCATAAGTAGGCAGAGAGGCAGGCAGAGAGAGAGGAGGAATCAGGCTCCCCGCTGAGCAGAGAGCCCGATCCTGGGACCACAACCTGAGCCGAAAGCAGAGGCTTTAACCCACTGAGCCACCGAGGCACCCCGAGATATTTGTCTTTAAAGGAATATGTCAGTCTTGATGAATAAAACGATAAAGAATATTATTAGGAGGCTCAGAAAATTATAAATATTGGCTATAGTATCAGTGTTTTAAATTTGCTGAGTGTTACATGTGTATTCGCAAAGAATGACTTTATTCACGTTGATGTGTTCAGGGAATGAAGTGTTATATAGTAACTAACTTTCAAAGAGTTCGACAACAACAAAAACGCTTATACTTAATAAGGAGAAAGAGA